AATTTTAAATATATATATATATATATATATATATACACACACATGTGTGTGTGTGTTTCACATCTATCCCACCGGTGATGTCTCTAATAGCCTACTTTTACAAGTGGTGCATGGTACATCATCAATTTTAACCCTAAGATACATCTAAACTAATAGACCATTATACACTTTATCACACTGGATCCAAATTTTCAAATTTTTGACTGAAATTATTATTTTTTAAATTACCCAAAAAAAAAAGCACGTGTTACGATGCACTGATGCAACTATTATTCACTTTCAGAACGGGCCGTTCTGAAATCAGAACGGGCCGTTCCAGATGAAAATATAACACATGAATAATAGATCATAACGGGTCGTTCCACATGAAAAAAAACACATGACGAACGGATCAGAACGGCCCGTTCCGAAATCAGAACGGTCCCTTCCAAAATCAGAACGGCCCGTTCCAGATTCAAAAATAACACATAACTAGTTAAACTCGAACGAGCCGTTCTGAATTTGGAACGGACCGTTCTAACTACAAATTTGTCATACAGATTTTTTTAAGCAAAATAATATTTTTTTTTCACTCTACTAAATTACATTTAAAATTTAAGTATAGTTTTCAATTGATAATGATTTTCTATTAGAATTAGAGGTTTACATTAATTATATGCGAAAATTTCTAATTCTAATTAAAAAATAATACCAAACAAAATTTTATATTATAAATATAATTTTCTCTCATTTAAATTATTGCAAAAATTTGTTAGTTTTAGTTTTATATCTCGACATTTTCTTCTTAAAAAAATGATGTTACCAAATATTTTTAAATTTGATTTACATTAGTTTAATTGCTTTTAAGGTGCATAGACTTTCGTGGTTTTGTTGCCAATGCCACAAACATTAGGCGTTGATTAAATGTCACCTAGTGTGAGGAGAGATACTCATTTTCTGTTTGGATTTGCATTGGTTGCTAATGTATGTGGCGTTAAACATAAGTTAGATAAAGGCCCTCTCTGCCTAATTAGGGTCGGGCGTGAGTTTTGTCATACCAGATACGAGAGAATAGGAGACTCTTTGCCTCAATGACATTAGGTGGGGGTAGTTTGGTGCTAAGTGTGAGTGGGATATGAAGCCCCTTCCTCAATGACATCAAACATCCTATGAATGAAGCCCAAAATTAGGCCTAATAAGCTTAAAACCCAAAAAATCTTATACTGAGGCCCATAATACAAGACCAAAGAATATAAACTCCTATACTACCAAAAATATGAGAAAGGTGGTCATCCATGTAAAGCCCAAGTAAAGAGAACCCTAGGCCCACCAAACCCATTGGGTTCACTGAGCTCAGAAGCAATCAAAAGCCCAAAGGCCCATGAAGCCCAAAACTAGGCCCAATAAACTTAAAACCCAAAAGGTCTTATATTAAGGCCCATAATACAAGACCAAACATTATAAACTCTTATACTATAAAAAATTTGAGAAAGGTGGTCATCCATGTAAAGCCCAAGTAAAGAGAACCCTAGATCCACTAAACTCATTGGGCTCACTAGGCTCAAAAGCTGTCAAAAGCCCAAAGGCCCATGAAGCCCAAAACTAGGCCCAATAAACTTAAAACCCAAAAGGTCTTATATTAAGGCCCATAATACAAGACCAAACATTATAAACTCCTATACTACCAAAAATATGAGAAAGGTGGTCATCCATGTATAACCCAAGTAAAGAGAACCCTAGATCCACTAAACTCATTGGGCTCACTAGGCTCAAAAGCTGTCAAAAGCCCAAAGGCCCATGAAGCCCAAAACTAGGCCCAATAATATTTGTTAACATAATTTTTTTAAGAGGAAAATGTCAAGATGTAAAACTAAAACTAACAAAATTTTGCAATATAATTAATATAAGCCTCTAATTCTAATAAAAAACATTATAAATTGAAATACTATACTTAAATTTTAAATGTAATTTAGTAGAATGAAAAAAAAAATATTTTGCTTAAAAAAAAGTTTGTATGACAAATATGTAGTTAGAACGGGCCGTTCCGAATTCAGAACGGCCCGTTCTGGTTTAACTGGTTATTTGGTATTTTTGAAACGGGAACGGGGCGTTCTGGTTTATTCGTTATGTGTAAAATTTCCATCTGGAACGGCCCGTTTTGATTCAACTTCTCATGTCTTTTTTTGAATATGGAACGGGCCGTTCTAGTCCATTTGTATGTGTTATTTTTTCATCGGGAACGGCCTGTTCTGATTTTAGAACGGTCCGTTCTGAAGGTGAACATTGACGTGTGACAGTTCAAATTTTTGGGTAATTTTTTTAAAAAAAAATTAATTTAATAAAAAATTCAGAAATTTAGATCTTATGTGATAGGGTGTATTGTAACCAGCGAGCTTAGATGCATCTAATGGTCATTTTTCATGGTGCACCCATACACCACTTTTAACAAGTGGTCCTTCGTAGAATTTACCCTATCCCACCTACTGGTGATGTCTCTAATTACACATAAACAATTCTTTGACAGTAATTTGGAAAAATGGTGCACAAAGAGACAAAGGAAACAATTTGTAAATGTGTTTAGGGTTTCACATTCTACATCTCCCAATTGACTTCTTGCGTCTTCTTTACGTCTCTTTAGAAAAAATGCAATTTATCACACTCGTAAAGCAAAATGTAAACTGACCGAGATATGTGACCCAAGCAGTATTTTCAATTTTAACTAAAATCAACTGCACTATATCTATATTTATAGTAGTTTACTTTTACAAACTAGACTTAAAAAAACAGTTCCGTTCACACTATATAAAAAAAGTTAAGTTTATTAAGTCTAATTTAGTTATTTTTTTTTAAAGTTTAATTAATAATAGTTTTGTGACCATCCTTAATTTTTATAATAAAATCGAGAGAATGACATAATTGACAAAATAATTTTTAAATTAAAAAAAGTACGTAAAAAAAGGATGTCAACTCAAATGAGGTTAAAATGGAAAAAAAATTAATAACTTATAAATTATTAACTACTTCAATTAACTTATGACAATAAATTATAAGTTCTTAAAATAAGTTTATATAAATTTTCTTGCAAAATAAATTTATTTTGGTTAAATTAAATTAAAGAAAGTAGTTTAATTATAAGTTCTTGAAACAGTATGTAAATATCAATATTAAATTAATTATAACATTTTCTATTTTTAATAATTGATTTTACAAATATGAAATTATGGGACTCCAAAATACTATAGTCAAGTCTTCTTTTTTTAAAGTGGATCCTGGCATGGCACTGAGGGAAGTAAATCTGAAGTTTCCCAAGTCAAAAGGTCAACAATATACATTGTACGAAGGGAAATTGAAAGAGGTTTCACAGAAAGTTCTTGGCAAGTTGTCAGCACCAAACAAGGGTGCACATTTTTCAATGCTTTTACAATAGTGTAATTATAAAAACAAAACACAGGCTAATCTAAGTAGTAAGTAGATTGTCATACTTTCTCAGGCACCATTCAAACAAGATTCAGTAGTGAATCAATTTGCCTATATCCTTAATCTTTGTGCCGTCCCATCTTCCATTTAATCAAAACCATGGCCAATAGCACAGCACTTATATCTGCAGTGGCATCTCTTGCAGCCTCAGCTATGCTAATCCGAAGCATTACAAATGACTTCATTCCTCCTGAAGCCCTAGACTTCTTTTACTCCCGAATTCATTATCTTTCTCGCAAATTTTCCTCCCAACTTACCATTATCATTGAAGAATTTCAAGGGGTGTCTAGAAACCAAGTGTTTGAGGCTGCAGAAGTCTATCTAGGCACTAAAGCCACTGTCTCAGCTCTAAGAGTTAAAGCAAGCAAATCTGAGGATGATAGAAAGCTAGCATTCAGTGTAGATAGAGATGAGGAAGTGTGTGATGATTATGAAGGAGTTCAGGTTAAGTGGAAACTTGTCTGTGAGATGGTTGAGTCTTATGGTTCAAGACATTTTAATAATATGAATCGTGCTTTCAAGTCAGAAGTAAAGTCCTATGAACTAAGCTTTCACAAGAAACACAAGGAGATGATCTTCAATGCATATTTGCCCTATGTGTTGGAGAGAGCCAAGGCTATCAAACAAGAGAACATGGCAGTGAAGCTTCGCACAATTGAGTATGAAAGTTATTGGAATGGTGATGGTGTCATATTTGGCCACCCCATGACTTTCAAGACTCTTGCAATTGATGCAGAGCTTAAGGGGGAAGTGGTGAGTGATTTGGACAAGTTTGTGAAGGGGAAGGAGTTCTATAAAAAAACTGGTAAAGCATGGAAACGTGGTTATCTCTTGTATGGCCCTCCTGGCACCGGCAAGTCTAGTCTTATTGCAGCCATGGCTAATTATCTCAACTATGATATCTATGATTTGGATCTCACCATTATCCAAGACAACAAGGAGTTGAAGAATCTCATCCTTGGCATGTCCAACCGTTCCATACTTGTTATTGAGGATATTGACTGCACCATAAAGCTGCAGAACCGAGAAGAAGAAAAGGAAGTAGACAAAAATAAAGACAATAAGGTTTGTATTATTTCTATTTAAATTTATCATCCATCTTAGAAGTTCAGTCTGAATTTTCATACCAAACAGCCAAGGGATGCACTAAAGTAGAAAATAACGTATGCATCTTATCCATCATTGCCCTCTTCATACATGTAACTCTATCATACTCTTATGTTCATGTCGATCAAACTTGTTAGATTCCATAAAAATAATAAGTTTTAAGAGTCTGATTGGATACAAGTTTAAAAGAATTTTTGAGTGTTTTTTTTTGCTAAAAATTAAGAGTTTTTGTTTTTTTTTTTCAATAGGAAAGTTTTCAAAAGTTTTTCTAAACATGTATCCAAATAAACTTCAAATGGAGTTGTGATTTTGTTAGATTTCAGCTTAAAATCAATTAATGAAGTTTACATTTCATTAATTGAGACAGACGATTCGTGACATTCTAATAACAAAACTAAATAACATTGATTACTGATTTCAATTAGTCTAAAGTTTGTTTATAATTTTCCAACAGGTGTCACTTTCAGGACTGTTGAATGTTATAGATGGTCTTTGGTCATGCTGTGGAGAGGAAAGAATTATTATTTTCACAACCAATCACAAAGAGAGGCTGGATCCTGCTCTGCTGAGGCCTGGGAGGATGGACATGCACATTCACTTGTCATACTGCACCTTTTCTGCTTTCAAGCAATTGGCCCTCAACTACCTTGGCATTTCACAACACAAACTCTTTGAACAGATTGAGGAGCTTCTAAGAGAAGTGAATGCGACACCAGCAGAAATAGCTGGAGAACTTACAAAGAGTGCTGATACTAGAGACCCCCTCCAAGACCTTGTCAAATTCCTCCACAGCAAGAAAATTCTGCAGGACAACACTGTGATTGACCACAATGTCAATGATCATGAACTAGGTGGAGAAAAGTAGTGTCAAAATGTCAAATTTGGTTTGGATGAATCATGGTAGTAGGTGAGTTTATTATATTGTATAATTATAATAATATATAGTTGCATGCTACTGAGCTGCCTATTTTTTAGGTTCACACCTGATACTATTTCACATGTATTCTTTTCACTTCACATGCTGAAAGAGCTTGCCATTTTGTTTTTATTTTTCACATATATCCTTGTTTGGAATTAATCTTTTCCGAATCGACACTTCTTATATTGTTGGTTAGTTTCAAATCATAGTTTGTTTTGGAAGACTAATCCTTCTACTGGTCTTAACTCCACTTAAGAGGACTTGCCATTTGTAAGGTTGGAATTGTAAAAAAGAAATAAATAAATAGTAATAACTAAGAGCAACTCCAATGATCAAGCAACTCCAACATGAGTTTCTTACCATTGGAGAGGTATGAGGTGGCAGCAAGAGTTTCTTGCAAAGGAGAGAGGGTTTCTTAGTGAAGCAACGGTTGTTTATTTTTGTGAACTGAAGGAAGCGCGGCGGAGGCGCGGGATTGGACGGCGGTGGCGCACGGTTGAACGGCGGAGGCGCGCGGTTGGATAGCAGAGGCGCGCCGGTGGACGTTCTGGCTGGACCTGCGCGCAGCGACGGTGACGCCAACGGTAGACGGAGTTGGAAGAAGAAAAGGTGAAGAAAAGGAAAGGTGAAGGTGGAGTTGGAAGGAAAGGAAAGGTGATGAAAAATGAGAAAACTCTCTCACGAAGAGAAAAAGAAGAAAAAGAGACGGTTTAAGAAATAAAAAATAAAAAATAGAAATTAAAAAATTAAAAAATTAATAAAAAATAACTTGAAAGATCCGTTGAAGAGCCGTTGGCATTTAAAAAAAAATCATTATAAATATGTATCAACTCAATTAAAAAATTTGGATCTCTTTAACTCTCTTCTACTTCTTTTATCTTGCTTGTTTTGCTCTCAAAAATGGATCCTAACCAATACAATCATCAAAAAAATTTAAATTCTCTCCAAAACCACCCACCATCGATGAGTGCAAATTCTCAAATTTCTTCGCAATATGTTATGAATCCACCATCTTATTTTAGTGAAAAATCTCAAAATCCACCACCTTATTGGTCAGCACCACAATATTATATGTTTCCAACACATCCACCTAGTGGTGATAATTCTCAAGGACCACAATTTTTTAGTCAACCACCACCTCTCACCAACCCAAATGCATGTTATAGGCCTTCTCCTCTACATAATATTGACGCTCCTAATAGTGAACCTGAATCGCCAATTGGTCTCGATGGAATTCAACTAGATGGAAGTGCAGAGAATTCGTCAACAAAAAAAATTCGTGTTCCATTCACAGTTCAAGAAGATATTATTCTCGTGAGGTCATGGGTCAATACATCGAAGGATCCAATCATAGGAGTTGATCAAACATTACGACAATATTGGTCGAGAATCACAAAAGCATACAACAACAATGAAGACCGTGGCGAGTTCCTAGAGAGAGAATCGACTCAACTAAAAGCACGTTAGAATCGAATTCATCCTGCAGTTCAAAAATTTATTGGTTGCTACAAATAAGCAATTAGTCAAAAGAAAAGCGGGAGTTCGGAGAAAGATGTCATGGCATTCGCACATAAGATTTACACTCAAGATACAGGTAAAAAATTTGATATGGAGCATGCATGGGTCATTTTGAGAGATGAACCTAAATGGCAATCTGATTTCGTGCAACACAATTCAAAAAGAGGGAAGGTAACGTTTGCAGGTGGTTACTTTTTGTCTTCCAACACAAAGACACCCATTAAACTTGATGAATATGAGATACCAACGCCAACATCCCGTCCGATAGGACAAAAGGCAGCCAAAAGGAAGGCCAAAGGAAAAGAAACTTCCAATACTAATGTTGTTGATTTTTCTAGCATAAAAAATGCAATAAAGGAGAAAAATGCCTATGCATCAAGACTAATTGAGTTGAATGATTGTTCAATGACTACTTCTCTGAAAATCCAGTATACACAAAAACTCAGTTTCGAAGACGGTTTCGCATGCGACGACATGTGTTTCTCCAAGTTGTAGATGCCATAAGCAATCATGATGAGTACTTTCGAATGAGGCTCGATGCAACACGTAGAAGGGGCCTATCACCGTTGCAAAAGTGCACATCTGCTCTTTGTATGCTGGCTTATGGGACACTTGCTGACTTTGTGGACAAGTATATTAGAATTGGTGAAACCACTGTAGTGGAATGCTTACAAAGATTCGTGAAAGGAATTTGTGAAATATTTAGGGGTGAGTATCTGAGACGCCCTAATAACGAAGACATTCAACGACTACTATGGATGGGAGAGGCACGTGGATTTCCTGGAATGCTAGGTTCAATTGACTGTATGCATTGGGAATGGAAGAATTGTCCAGTTGCGTGGAAAGGTCAATTTTGTCGAGGTGATCATGCCAACCCAACAATCATTCTTGAAGTTGTTGCATCACAAGACTTGTGGATTTGGCATGCATTTTTTGGAACTGCAGGTTCGAATAATGATATTACTATGTTAAATGCATCTAATGTATTTAACGAAGTTCTTTTAGGAACTGCTCCGACAGTGCAATACACCGTGAATAGAACCCAATATAATATGGGTTACTATCTAGCAGATGACAAATATCCAGACTTTGCTATATTTGTCAAGACCATCTCCATGCCACAGGGGGAAAAAGGAAATTATTTGCCTGACGACAAGAATCAACGAGAAAGGATGTAGAACGAACGTGCATTTGGAGTGCTTCAATCTCGATTCACAATCATACGAGGTCTGACACATTTTTGGGATGCCGCAATAATAAAAAATATAATTTATGCATGTATCATATTGCATAACATGATTGTCGAGGACGAGTGAGACACCTATCAAAATTATATTGATTATGATGTGTAAATGATGAAATGTTAAGATCTGAAATATCTATAGGTGCTCATCCCAATTTTAGAACAACATACCTTCAAAGGAGAGCAGACGTTCATGACAAACGAATACACCGCCAACTTCAGCAAATCTTATTGAAATATTTGGGAACGTTTCAGAAATAATAATGATGAAAATTAATTTCGTATAATGTTTATGTATTTACTATTGCTTTATTTTATTTTTAATATCTACTTATTGTATATTTTTTCTCATAATTTATTTTCTTTTATTGTAGTACAATTGTCCTTTTTAATAAAAATTTTAATTTGGTTCATAAATGATTTGAAAAAAAATTCTAAAAGTTGAATTTCTTAAAATTTCTTACCATTGGAGTAAATTTCTGTTTGAGTTGCTTAATGCTGACATGACACACTTGAGACCACTTTTTTTATTTTCCAATGCATGAAGCAACTCAAATGAGTTGCTTCCATTGGAGATGCTCTAAGTACCTTCTGCAGTACTTATAATGATATTTAATGGACTAAAGTACACTTTTAGTCAATATGTAAATTATGATTTTATTCTTTTAAATTTTTTAATTTACAATTTTAATTCACAAATTATATAAAATTTGTAAGTTTAATAATCATTTATTGATTCATAAAATTATAACTCTAATAATGACTTATATTAAATAAAATGATAATTAATATGTAATAATATTAAGTTAAATTAGCAATAGTATAAATAAACAAGAATAACTTAAAATCAAGAATTAAAAGTACAATCTAAAAATAGATGATAATTTAATAAACAAATCTTGTCTATCTTATATGTGTGAGACCTTAGCCGAATAAGCCATGTGCTCCTGCTCCCAATTGACAATAATTTATTATATAGCTAGAGACTATAGATCTTTGTTTCACATGTAACAGTCATTAAAAAATAACAAAAATTGTTAACAATATTTTCAATTGATTAAAATTTATTAAAAAAATACAAATAAATACTTCATCTCATTCAAAGAATTTTTTTCATAATTTAATGATAATAGTTACTAAAATTAGTAATTTTCAATAATAATAAAAAAGTGTTAGTGTTTTCTTATAATAATAATAATAATAATAATAATAATAATAATAATAATAATTATTATTATTATTATTATTATTATTATTATTATTATTATTATTATTATTATTATTATGTCACATATAAATTGAGGTTGACTTATAGAGGTAAGAATAAGTTAAATTAAACTTTAAATATTCAAGTTGGACATGTTCTATAAAATTAAAGTTTAAATTTGGCCTATTATCTATTATAGTTTTTTTTTTATAGATTTTTCCGACCTTTTAAAAAGTTTAATCTGACCTATTAGTCTATTTTGATTAATAACATTAAATATGTTAATAAAATTAATTTTAAATAAGTTAATAATTATATTTTAAAATACATGTGAGTCTTTTTTTTAATTTGCATAAATCTTTTTAATTTGCATGATAAAAAATAATTTAGTCTATTACTATTATTATTACTAGCAGGAAAAAGATATTTCGTGTTTGCATTGTATTAAAAGAAAGAAAAAGGAAAAAAAATGATAAGTTACTCATAAAAAAGGTAATTATTGAAAAATAAATAACGGATAAAATGGTTCATGTAAAAATGAAAGCCAAAAGTAGTTATTGAAAGTAGTATCTCCTTTATATATTAGTATTAGTATAGATTTATTAGTTTCAAGTTCTTAAATTTGATTAAAAAATATTTTTTCTAATTTTTTAAAATAAAAGGGTATAATGATCTTAAAAAGTGGAGATCAAGGTAGTTACCGAAAAGAGTATCCTTTTTATATATTAGTATAGATTATTATTATTATTATTATTATTATTAAAATTTAGAGTTTAAAATAAAAAAATTAATTGAGGTACAACTCACGCATACCCATGTAAATTAATGTATATCCACATATTGCAATGAAAAAAGATAATTTTATTAAAAAAAATCTTCTAAATATTCTCTATATCACATTTGAAGTATTCTAAACAATCAATCATGAAGATGAAAAAAAAAAAAAAAAGACTATGTGACTATTAGAATTTTTATTTCTGACATATTGGTTTTTTAAATTAAGGAATGTAAAATAATTAAGTATAGTGAAATTGTAAAAAATATTGATAATTTAATTTTTATATTACAATTTTTTTATTAATTATATTTTTAATAATGATATATATATATATATATATGTTATTTTATTATTATATTATATAGATAAATATACTCATCTATTAAGTTTAACATATTTTTTAATAAGTCTAAGTCTAATATTTTTAAATAAATAAATCTTTTAAAAATTTAAATATAACATTTTTATATAACATTTTTTTGTTAAATAGGTCATATCAGATTTTAAATAAGTCAAGAAATCTCTATTTAAAATTTGATTTATTTTAATTCCTGTTCACTTATTTCAATTCTTAACTTAACTTAAATATCTTGTGACAAGTAATTCCAAAGCTCCATCAAGATGAAGCTCCTCCACACCACAACCTGGCAATTCAGCATATATATGATTAAAAATAATGATAAGATTACTTTCTAATTAAAGTGTTACTCAATATTTTTTCAGTAACTTAAAATTATTAATAATTGATAAATTAATAAACAACTATAATAGTATCAATTAAGAATTGATTTTTCTAATTTTGAATGTAGTTTACTCTATTTATTAGGAGAAAGACTACCAAGTTTTCTCTCAGATAGTTAGAGAACATCATCAAAACTGGTGGAGGAAAACCAAATAGAAGCTAGTTTTTGGCCCTCAAAATATAACAAAAGCACACAAATAACGGAACAAAGCCTCATGCATGCAACTATAAAAGGATTCGATAGCAGCCTCATTATCTCATCACAAGGGGAACAATAAGAATACATCATTAACCAATAAAGTAAATCGGCATGGAGAAGTCACTTGCTGTTGTTGCCCTCTTTGTCTCAGCATTTTGCTTCTCCTCAGCCTTGGCACGAAACTCACCCCTCGACAAATTCGCCGTTGAGGGCAAGATTTACTGTGACCCTTGCCACTTCGCATTTGAATCCAGACTCAGCTTCCCCTTGCCAGGTAACCATAATCACCATTCACATATCTAGCCAACATTATACTATTTCATTTATATAACATAGTTATTATAACTTTTTACATAGTATTAGATGATTATTTAGTTTTATACTATTAACCAATCAGATTTCATCGTTGGTATGACTTTTTACATAATAATTTTTAATTATTATCGTCGATCTTACATAGACTATGAATAAGGACATGATTTTTATCTTATAATACTGATTTTATAAAGTGGGATTAGACTTTTAACTCACTTTCTTAACGGTGATTAGATATAAGTATGTTGCATCACCAGTTTTCTCATAATCTTACTGTAACATCTTTATTTACGTGTGCATGCAGGTGTTAAGGTAAGTTTGATATGCGTGAATGATGGCAATGGCACAGTGACATATTTGAAGGAGGGCAAAACTGATGCAAATGGCATGTACAGCATTCGTGTCCATGGTGATCACGAGGAGGAGATATGTGTGATGGCTGCTGACCCACCTGCAGAAGGTGAATGCAGAGAGGCAATGCCAAACAGATCTGATAGGATTGTCCTCACCAAAAACATGGGTGCCTCCTCCATGACACGCTTTGTCAATCCCCTTGGGTTCATGACACAGACAATTGATACACAGTGCAATTCAGTCGTCAAGGAGTTGCAATTGGACCAACTTGAAGATTGAGTGCAGATAATTAATGCATCATAATATCTATTATTCATGTTGGATCAATTGTCATCTATCTATTCTAATTAACCATTCTCCACAATGGTTGTTTTACTATGCAAACACCATGTTATTGAAATAGTAATATTGATTTGGAGTTTGGTACATACAAGAGTAAGTGGTGCATTGTGAGTTCTTATTTAATAACTTTTATGCTTTCATGCTTGTCCATCCAAAACTGAAAAGAATCCTCAAATTTAGACACCTTTGAATTATTGAACATCATAATGAGTAATGACACTCAAAAAAAAAACTTGAATATGATTTAATATTAAAATATTAATTTAAATTTACAATTAAAAAAGAGAGAAGAAAAATGAGTATCTAAAAAAGTATTTTTATGTTATATAACAAACTCGAATACGATACAGAGACACGATATGAATACAAACATAACGATACATTACAAGAAATATTACATGTAGTGACATACAAAAAGTGTCACTATAGGTACAATATATGTAGGTATATGTTTATTTGACATATAGTTACACACAATTTTAGTGTTGATTTTGAATTAGATTTAACAACATATTTTGTGTGTCATTATAGTTTATACCCACACTTTTTAATAATATACTAACATATATTGTAGTTATTGTGTGGATAAAAATAATTTTTAGTGACATCTATAGTGTCACTATAGAGTGTGTGTCACACTGTATGGCAATTTTGTTGTAATGACATGACAAAATCTAAAAATATCAAATTCTCCTTTCTTTATTTCTATTTTTATTCATCTTTTAAAAAAAAAAATCTTGAATTCACCTATTAGATACGACGTTAAGATGGAGACATGTTTATTTACAAATGTTTATAATGAAGATACATGAGTTTTGTAAATATTCATGTAAGACATGTGTATGATTTATCTGAACGATCTATCGAAGTGTTCAAAACATAACCGCGACATATGTTTTATCCCATGCCATATCCATGCGTTTTTAACTTCTGTGGGTGTCCAAATATTTTTTCAAATTAAAAAAAGGTTGTACTGAGTTATGGGAGAAATCATCAAATATTTGAGTAAATATATGAATTGGTTAATTTTTTTTTATCTTATATTTATAGTGATTATATATTATGGATGTAATTTCAAAAAAAATTGCACCAGTTAATTATTTTGATTGCATCATTTAACATTTTGTCGTGTATATAATCTTCAATTATGTGTACATTATTGAAATGAGAATATGTACCATAATTTTTTTTTAAAAAAATAATTATTAACTAAAAATTTAAAATTTTGAAAAGATTCATGAAAATATAATAATTAGCATTTCTCTTTAATGACTTAATGTAACTGATATCATGTAAAAAGGTAATTTATATTTTATACTCTCAACGAAAATGTTATATATCCTAACATATTATCAAATTATATACTTAAATAAACTGGCTCTAATTTAGTTATATATTTTTTTGTATATTATTTAAGTTAATTTAAATTTAAATATTATTATAATTTATAAATATTGAATATTTTAAAATAAAAATTAAACTTAATTGTATATCGACAGAAATGTGAACATATTGTAATTGTCCTTGATAATATAATTATGTATTTTATTTAAAAAAATAACTTTAAAGATATTTTTTAATCCTATAAAATTTTAAAAAAAAATATTTTTTTCCACAAAGTTATAGTATCATTGTACATTTTAACAGAGTCTTTTATTTTTAACTAGTTAAAAATGTATATTACATATGAAAACGAAATAAAATAAGTAAGAAATCTATGCTCCATGTAAAATTTTATATTATAAAATAAAACAAAAACATTGATCAATTTAAATTATAGAAATTGATACAAATATTTAAATTTATTTTATTCACCTAGAGCTTACTGTCGAGGCTAGGAATTTGCTTTATTGCAATTTGCAAGCTTATGCATATTTGCCGTAAAGGATTAAAATCGTGGATTGGATGATTTATTTGTCTAAGAGTGTGTCCCAAAAATGGTAGAATTTTCAAGTCTCACTCTTTGATGTGATTAACTTACTTAGGTTTGCTTGTTCAAGTGTTTTTGCCATTACCCTTTAATTGTAGTTTACCATCAAGGTCCCTTTATATAGCAAATAAAAAAGATATTAATTTATTTAAAATGAATTTTAATTCATTGTATCACAGATACCCCTAGGAAGTAACTGCTTTTGCATAGTATAAGCTGGTAATCATGGCAACACTGAAGGCCTAATAAAAATATGAAAAAAAATTTAAAAAATAAAACTAAAAATTTTCATATTAAATGATTTTTTTTCTTTTTTAAACTATATATGGGAACATGAAAAAGAAAAAGAAATATATGAAAAAATAAGTATAAATAATTATAATAAAATCAACATTTTTATAAAAGATCAAAAGAGTGATCCGTTTATTTCAAGAGTAAATCTTGATATATTTATTTCACTCGATAACTCATATTTTCTATCAAATATCAGCATTCAAACTATTAAATTAAATATTTTAATGCATAGATCAAGTTTACAAATTTTTAAAATTTTTGAAAACTATTTAATAATCATAAAATATTTTATACGTTGATTTGAATCCATATAAAGAAGTATCATATGATTTTCAATTTTTAAAAAAATTTGTAGACTTAATTCACAAATTAAGAACTTTTTAATTTAACAATTGCATTATTAAAATTTAATGTAAAAAATAAATTATTAAGTAGATATATCCTCAAAAATCAAAACCTTAACATATCAATGTTTGCAAATTCTTTTTTTTTGGTATAGTATGTTTACTCATTTTAATAAAAACATCAAAATTTCAAGAGTAAATTACACTCTCCTTTCCTAAGATATTCGAACATTACACTTCTCTCTCCTCTTATGTTAAAAATCAAAGTTTCCTCTCCTTACAGATCCCAATATATGATACTTTACATATTTTTTATTTTTCTGCAAATTTTCCTGCAAAAAAATATTTGTAGAAAGTTTTTGCAAAATTTCCTGCAAAAAAATATTCGCAGAAAATTTTTTGCGAATTTTCCTTTAAAAAAATATTCGCAGAATTTTTTTGCCAATTTTTCTGCAAAAAATAATTTATAGATATTTCTTACAAATTTTGCTACAATTTTAATAATCATGGAAAAAAAACTTTCTATGGTAAAAATTTGCAGAAAATATTGTAAGAATTTTATTTTGTTTCTTGCAGATTTTCTTGCAAAAATAAATTTGCAAGTAATGTTTACTAAATGGTAGAAAAATTTTGCAGGTAACTTTTCCTGCGAATTTTCCTGCAAATTTTAATTCGCAGGAAAAATAAAAAATAATATTTAAATTCATAAGTTTAATATTCTAAAAAATCTTCAAGTCCCACATCGATTGAAAATAAAACAATTAAAGAGTATATAAGTTGGGGCAACACTTACCTTACAAATTGAATTGTATGATTGAGTGTTAGGCTTATAATCTACAATCTTAGAATTTAAAAGATTATGTATGAGGCATGAAAATAAAAGATTATGAATTCTTAAAATATATAATTTATAGTAATTTTTTTTTATTTTTCATAAAAAATATTCCTGCAGAATTTCTTGCGAAAAAATTCGCAGGAAAGTTTCCTGCGAATTTTTTTGCAGGAAAATTTCCTGCAAATTTTTTTTCTAGGAAACTTTCCTGCGAATTTTCCTATGGATTTCTTTTTGCAGGAAAATTTCCTGCAAATTTTTTTTTGCAGGAAACTTTCCTGCAAATTTTTTTCGCAAGAAATTTCGAAGAAAAATTTCCTGCGAATTTTAAAATTCGCAAAAATATATTATCCATGAAGTACCTGCAAATAAAATTTCGTAAAAAAATTTGTAGGAACAACGTTTTCTGCAAATTTTTATGAAAAATTCACAGGAAAAATCGCATGTAATAAAAGAAATTCTAGTAGTGAAAAAAAATTCGTCAAAGTTCTGTTAACTTTCATTACAAAAAAAAAATTATTACCAAAAGACCATTTCCACTAACATTCTCTTATAGATATAAATATTACACTATATTTCCTTGACAAATTCAAATATATTATACTTTAATAATTTATCTCTTAATTTATATATTAAAAACTATTGTGATTTTTGTTAAATTTAATTATATATATCTTAAAAAAATGCTATTCTTCATTATATAGGATTAGTTATATATATTAAAGATAACATATAAGTATTAAGGTATTATTTAATTGATATTACTAATACAATATTTTAGTAAATATTTAAATAAATTACTGTTTTATGATAAAGTATTATTTATTATATTTAATAAATGTAATGTTAAAATATGTATATTAAATATATAATTTTTAAATGAACAAATTTATACTAAAAATATATTATTAAATAAAATATAATTATTATAATATTTAATACTTATATATATAAGTTAATTTATATTATATATTTTTTTGTGTGTGTATATATATAATTTATTTTATAGTTTTTATTTAATTTATTATTTAATAATTAATTTAAATTTAATTAAATTTTTTATAATTTTTTATCAAGTAAATGAATGACAATGAATTATAAATATTTTTTAAGTTAATATAATAGGAGAATAATAATATAATACTTGTATTTCTAATGGATAAAAATATAATTCATTTGATATTTTAACATGTAGAGACTGTATAGTATAATACTTACATCTTCCGTAAAAGAAAAATATAATTTATATTAATAATATTAAGTTAAATGAATTAAATTATATATTTATTATTAAAAAGAATAATAATATAATACGCTTATCTTTCACGACAAAGTAACATAATTTATTCAATTTTTAATGTCTTAAAATTTAAAAATTTAATACACAAAAATTAACATCAAAATCTTAATGTCTTGAAATTTAAAAGATTAAATATATCAACTATGTATCAAAATTTTAATGTTTTAAAAAGAAAAATAAAATATATCATTGTTAATTGAGCTTTGCCGATTAAGCCTGTAAAATCCAAGGATTGATAGGTTAGACCAAAAATTTGATATGATTGAACAGATTATATATATAAAAGTTCAATATATGCATGAATGATGAACTTAGAATATCTACAATCCAATATCTTACTCAAGGTACTTAAATGGACTCCATCTATACACATTATTCACTTTTACTAATT